TCGATGGCGGAGCATCGCGACGGACTCAGCAGGCTTTACCCAGAATTCTTAAAATGTGGCACCGTTTCCGGCTCCGTTTTCGAAGGGTTGATTTTCCCGTTTATTTCCTGCCGTTTCGATCGAAAGGTGAGAAATGTTGACTGCGTTTTTTGAGCTAAAGGGAGTCGCCATGACGTCTCCTGCCTCAGCATCTGTGCTGCATAAAGGCCAAAGGGTGTCCTTGCTTTAAATGCATAACGTGCAAAAGTCTTCGCATAAAGGGTATCCATTGAGTGAATATCATTGAGAAACTTTTTATGATTGAATCTAAAGCAAGGCTTCCCAACCCAGGGGTCGCGAACCGGCAACTAAATGCAAAGTTACGTTTTTCTTTGCGATTTTAGCGCATAGGTAGGGGAGCCTGTCTAACTTCGCTCAGTGCATGGGGTCGTGAATAGTACGAAAGTGATTTTCGGGGTCGCGCGTGAAAAAAGTTGGGAAGCCCTGATCTAAAGTGAGCAAGGGTCAGAGAAATTAATTCAGTCGCAGTGAGGTGAAGTGAGAATAAGGTATGACGTACTCAAGCTTGTAATTAGTCAATCTACACGCATTAAATGGTTACTGGAGACTCAATAACAAAAAGTGTCAACCCCCCCTCCCCCGATAGTCATTTTAAAGACATCTTGCATTCGAAATGCCCTGAGTCATCGTAACAGGACGATTTTTCTGCGATCTAAGATTTAATTTTCACACCCGTAGATTTCGCACTGCCAAAAAGCCTGATTTAAGATACTAAAAAAAAGGATACCAGTACAGTAAAAAAAAAAGTATTCTAAATAAAAGCATCGTGAAAGCATGCGAAATAACCTTAAATACGGCCGGGGACGGGAAATACGAAAGCTTCGTTCTTGGCACACCCACGCTGAAGGCGCACATCCGAGTCGACCGAAAAATGGGATCTCAAGGAGAAATGCGACCTTCGTGGGACAGAGCATTCCAACCCATTGCTTCTGCTCATCCGACCGTGCAAAAATAAATTCGAGGCCGGAGTACCGCTGAAGAGTCGAGAGACGGATCAGCCGGATCTCTCGCCTTCTCTCCAGCTACAGGGTGTGCAGAAAGTCAAGCTCTGTGGGCAACTGACCTCATTTTTTAAGTTCGTGGAAATCATTCTAGAATGTGGTCAAGCGATCGGTTAGGGGCAATGACTTTCACTTCACGAGTTCCACTCGGTAAATCGATCGGGTGCTCCATGTCATTCTTTCGAAAACATTTTTTTTTCCTCAAAAGTTCTGAAACAAACATAGAACAAAACCATCAGCGTTCCGGGGTTCCAAACCATCATTTGACAGTACCCGAGAATAAGCTTCACGAACTTCAATAAATGAGGCAAGTTGTCCGCAGAGTATCAATTTCTGCACACCCCCTTACTTGTGATGTTGCAGCAGTAGTGGACAGTGGCTCCATTTCGTTATCTCTTTCCTATATTTTTCTTGGTCCATTCTCCTCGAGTCTATCGCCCCAAGAACCACTGCATCGACGATTAGGGTACTTGAGGGCAATTAATTTCATTCGCTGGTTACAATTACTTTCGTTAATAGTGAGGAAACGGAGAAAGCATACGTTGATCCTAAATTCGGTCGAGAGTACCTACATAACGAGGTTCAGGGTCGATTTCTTTCTACGGTCAATTTCCGACTGGCTGAATCTCATTGAAGAGAAGGCCGAGCGACGTCTAATGTCTGATCTCATTTAGTCTCAAGGATGTTTCATGCTGAATGAGCAAAACAGCACTTCCCTGTGAAGTGATAACTCTACCGGAAATTAAAACCATCGCTATTGCATGTGAGAAGTTCGTCAAAATGGGGTTGAAAAAAAAAAGGCGGGCCCTTGCCAACACGCGAGCTTCTAATCATCGCCGCAGAATTAGAGAGAGCCACAAAAAGAATCAGGAAGGAGTTGACCTTCACTGGCCATCAGAGTGGAGTAAACTGGAGTAAACCTTTGGAATGCGTGCATTCCTGGACGTGGAAGACTACTAGGCGCCCTGCAGAGAATGAGTCTCGGCCTCCCAAATTCAATCGTTGCGCTGGGAGGAAGCGAGTGGAAAACCAGGCCGGTTACCGCTTCGAGTAAGGCATATCTAACCAGACGGGAATAGACCTCAAAAATAGAACGTTCTTATTCCACGATTTCGAAAATTTTGCGATTTTATTGCACTCTACTGTGCTTTCGTAAAATCAATTTTCACCGATATCGCTAAACTCCTTCAAGTTGGCTGTGGATAGGCTCTTTGGATTGAAGGACCTGAAGGACATTCTCCCTGAGAAACTGATGGCAGAATGGACTTTCTTAGACCTGATCTCCTTCCAAGCACTTGGGAAGCCCCTCGAATGGGAGAGTTCATCCCGATTTCTCCCTCCCCTTAATATTTTTTATTTTTATAAAACCTACTTTTATATTTTAAATAAAGGAGTGGAATTAAACATGGTTTTTCGAGCTAGGATTGTAAAAAAAAATAGCATAAAACCTGAGGCAGAAAAAAAGGAGCGGAAAAGTTGTGACAAGCGTCTGTCACCATTTTACAATCCCAGGTAATTCCGAGTCAACCAATCTGGTCCCTCTCCGCTACGGAGACAACAGTACCCTTTCACATGTTCTGTCTTTTCACTTCCATATCATAATTCTAAATGTTAACTCCCAAAAAACGATCCCTCAATCGAGAAAGAATTTATAGGACATGCGATAATTTTTTTGGCCAAGCCATATCGCCATATATCTCGAGGCATTTTCCCTTGTGGGTCATCATCTACAACATTTCTGTTTTAGCTGCATATTGCATTGCATTAATCCACACAGTCCAAATGAAAGATCATATTACCGATTCTCAAGTCCTCAGATAAGGGATCTCGAAGGCAGAACTTTGCTTGCAAAGTCGAAGGGAAGACATGAATGAAACTGAAACCTCATAGTGAGGCAAACGAAGCGTTTATTCTGGAACCAGTAGAAAAAAAAACGCGACTTGACCACACCATTTTCAAATCGTATCATGACAAAACATCGAATGAATCACTTCACTTATCTATAATTTAAGAAAAAAGTTCCTAATAGTCTCAGTCATTGTACTCCCATTCACGGTGGATGATCCATTGCTGCATAACTTATCAGTGCCATAAGTATCACACAAAAGGATACCAGTCCCACCGAAAGCGGGAAAAGGAAATTATTTGCCTGAGGTGAGAGAATTAAGTTTCTCCACACAGTGTATCACATTCACCTGGGGTTGAAGGTGAACCCCGAAAAGCAAAAAAGACTAGCTGCCCACAACAGGCTACTCAAGTCCTATCACAAAGACGAAGTCGTAAGGTTTCTCTCTCTCTTTCTCTATACACGGGATGGAAAATGTTGATATGGACGAGGGATGAGAAGATTTGGCAGCACTGAAAGGCATATCTATCTTCGTTCATAGGAGAGTTTCCCCCGGTTGAGTGGACGGTGATGGGAGTTTGAGATGCGAAGGAAATCTGGTGCTGCGTCTTCGCCTCCGAGGAGGCGGCAAGGGCAACTCCCTCTTCACCGCCGCCGCCGCTTCGATCGACGCCTTCTTGTAATTGATCGGCTCGTAGGACCCATACTCTACCTCCGCGTATTCGATCTCTTTGCATGAGAAAGGCTGCAACAGGCACAAGGCACAGGGACAAGTCACCTTGTAGTCCTTCCTTCTCTGAACTTCCATCAGGAAGGGGAAAGGAAAGAGGAAGGAAATGCTGCTCTCGTCCATCACGACCTTATTGGCACGGAGAAGACAAGAACGTGTCATCATGGTCGTTAAACGGACAGGGTGTCCCAAATCAATCAACTCCTTTTTATCGAGCTGGGAAAAAATTTTTCCGAATATCCCGTGCTGTGATTCGAATACTACTGCTGTCCTGCTCTATCGCAAAGCAAAATTTTCCTTCAAGAACATGAATTTTCAGGGCTGGTGTCACATTGTCCCTCATCCTGCATTGCTAGGCAAGTCGGAAATCCTAGTTCATCCGTTTCATCATTCGGCAAACGATTACATTGCTCAAACAAAGCAGGAGCTGTGACAAAGGAGAAGCTTAGAAAGCTATCTGCAAACTCTTCCTGTTCTCTTAATGATTTCATATGCAGCCGAAATGTTCGAAAGCCGATAAAGTATCAATTTTTTGGGACACCCTGACGAGAACCTTGCAGTTTGGGCAGGAAAGGGATATGTGATATGATATGGGGATACCTTTGATCGACACAGCACAGCTGTCAGTCAGCCTGTCTCAGTCTGGAGTCTCCCTAATAAATGTACGTGTTACTCCCTCGCCTTGAATCCTGTCAACAACACAAAATCCCCCAACTCTTCAATGGCTCCTTGGAGAGCGAGATCAATGCAGTCACAGTCCTCATCTAAGGCTATTCCATATCAAGACGTCCTCCATCCTGTGTTTTATAATAGGGTCTGGGAATCCGATTTGGCATTGTCCTTCGGTCTTGATAAAAAAAAAAATTGTCCACGCTTCCCAACATACTCATAGAAGCTTCAGTCTCTCCCACTCATACCATGGCGAGCGGATGCGAGACATCATTTTCCGTCATGATTCCATCTAAAAAGGACAACTACATGAGCTAACGAGAAATATAGAAACGCCAAAAGTGGACGCACAGGGTGACGACGGTCAATTACTTGACATCTTCTGCTACGGAACGTGAAACATTTGTTTGTGTGTACATGGACTATTCCACGACACAACGAGACAGAACGCTCTACGAAGACGTTGACAGATGGACTCTTGTTCTGATTCTAAGGATTGCTACGGTGAGTGCAAAATAATAGCCCTGAGTGTATGAGGGAGGAGGAGGAGAAAAAAAAGTGTGCAGTGCTGTGCATGGATAGAAGAAGCGCTGTGCAAACTGCAAGGTTCTCATATTCACATACCTTGTACCAGGTATCTGCAGAAGGGAATCATCTATGTACAGGGATACAGTGGGCTACACACTCACCAGGGTCATACATCAATCTCTTGCCCTAGGCCGCTTTCTCTGAAGTGCAGGGCAGCAGGGGTGGGATTAGCACCCCGTTTGCCCGGGTAAAGGTTATCCTTGACCTTGACCCCGGATGACCTCGGGTGGCGGAGACCTTGCGAGGATCGAGGGATATTGTCCGCGACCGGACGGGGAAGGACCGGGTAAGGGGAAGCATACGCCACTTCCACGTATTCGTCCGGCAGGTGAGAAGGGGGGCGGATCAGGCGGGCAGGGGGAGGGGGAGGGGGATGGTGGACGGCGGGGAATTTCTGCTGGACGGGTAACGTGGCCATCCGGGAAAGGGAAAGGGTGCTCAGTCCTCCCTCGTGATGACGGTGTCGTTGATGCTACGTAGAGCGAGAGGGAAAGCCCAGGGCCGCGACAGGGAAAGCCAGAAAGACACAAACACAAACGGCGTGCAGTTAGCCTCTTCACACGTATGCCGGCTACACATACATCTGCATTAACAGAATTAGGCCTAAATCACAAACACCTAGAAAGCATCTCGTGATCATGCACATTCTCCAGGAGACGAAGGGGGCTGTAGAATGTGACTGTGCTGTACATATGAAAGGATCTCAGGGAATCTTGACTACTCATTCATGGCAATTATGAGCAATAATCCTGACGACTCGTGAGCTGTATATCCTTCTAGATTCCACTTGGGTCATAATTTGTAATGGGTCGGCGGCCTCATAAGTAGGGTAACCAGTCACGAACAACCACAAGATGGAGCGCGCATCTACGGCATGTATCCATGGGGGCAAATTTTTGTCCATGCTCAACCTCTCCGCATGACTTCCCTTGGGTAAATCTGAGTCAGTCCCTCAAAGAAGTAGTCAATCGTTTTTTTTTGTTTTACGCTCTCAATAAGATTCATGCTGACTGTTCGGGAATGGATAATAAATACGAAGATGATAGCTAGAGGAAGGTATTAATACCCATATCAGTTGGCCATTAGGAAGGGGGAAGAGCCCCATTACTCCATATTATTCCTCAGTCTGAATGAAATGGGAGAAATTCTCTCCTTTCCCGTTTTCGATTTTCCCCTCTTACGCTCTCTCTTCCCTGACGAATTTCAATGACACCCTCTCGGTCTCGGAGCTGCCAAAATGAAGAATATTCAGCCTTCTGCCGGTCTCGTGGTCTATCTATCGATCCCACATCGTTCCCCTCGGACTCCGAAGCTCGTGACTCCATGGAACTTAGCACGCAATGAGCCCAACTTCTCTTCCGCTCTTTCTCCATCTTTAGAAACGTGCACAACAAAGAGTGAGACGTATTGACGTGTACCGTTGGCCCCTATCACCATCCATTTCGTGTCTACACCTTCAAATCCGACTGCACATTCCCATGTAATCACCATTTACCCATGGTTTACCGACGATCGTACCTGTTATCGTAGAACATTCGAAGGCAATTTCAATGGAGATCAGGTTTTACTGAACGTGTCACCAAATCGACGCAATCGAATGGGAAACGGAGGACTTAAAATTTGCGAAAAAAGGGTAAACTCGAGTAAATTAAAGCGAAACAAAAAAAAATCCCAGGAAGGACGGGAAGGAAGGAGGAATACTCATGTCATCTAACCTGGTCGGAGTTTTCCTCAGCCCCAAGAGGTTGTGGGAAAGGGACATTGAGGTAGACATGCCTAGCCCTGGGTGCACGGGGTGCAGCTCGAGGCGGTGCTACCGCACCTTCCGTCTCGTTCTCACGGGGATTGTACGGCACTATGGGGATCCCCAGTTCGGAATCTTCGGCAACTCCTTGCAGGTCGGCATGGCTCTGAATTTGATTGTCGTTCCGAGTCTTGGATGGGAATCGAAGGGAGGAGAATAGCAAAGCCCTGGCACTAAGGAAAGAGGCTCCTGTGTTTTTGCGAGCCCTAAGAGACCCGAAGCCGAGGACTTGGGTGACTTGAGGGGGGTGGTCGCTTTGGCTCCTCGTCGATCCGTAACCGGATGATCCGTTCTGACTCAGTTCGCTAGGGGGTCTACTGCCGTTGCCGCCGGAGAGGGTTGGGGCCGGAGGAGTTGCTGCTGGGGGCAAGGGGTTCTGGGGCTCGGGTTCTGGTTCTATCTACGCTTCCCGGGTTGAGAAAGGAACACACGGAAACACAGGAAGAAAAAAAAAACACAAAACAACGGTGAGGGGTAAATGATCTACGGTAACGCAAACGAGGGATAGGAAAAGAAGGTGAATGATGAGAGAGGAAGAGGGCGTAGGAGGAAATCTCACCTTGTTGGGTGGGGCTTGAAGGCCGTGGAAAGGGAGATTTTCGTAGAAGAGTTTCTCTCCTGGCCAGTCGTCCTCGCCCTTCCCTCCTGTGCTGCCATCTACGACAAAGACACAGACATACGCATCTGATATGGTGAGCCGAGGATATAGCAAAGAAAACCACCAGGAGTCGGGTTGACCCCATTTGACACGTACCATCTCCAGGTTTCTTTCGTTTTCGACCTGTCCCACTGGGTGCAGACTCCCCTGAAGACCTTCGGAACGTCACAACTAAGGATACGAGAACCAAGGGGAAGGTGGACTACAGAACATGCAGAAAACCAAGGAAGGGGGGGGAACAAAATAAAAGGGGGGGAGGGGGGATTTCCACTAAGGGAATGGACGTACCACCCGTGGCGAGAAGTTCCAACGTCTTCTGGGGAGCTTTCCGTATAAGTTTCTTTCGACTTGGAGTCTTCTTCACCTCGCACTTATCGTCTAACCCTAAGTCATCCTCTTCTTCGTCCCTATCGTGCTCGCATTCTCGTTCCTCCGACTTCGCGGCGACCGAGGCCGAGGATTGCGACGGTGGTTCAGCTTGCTGCTGCTGCTGCTGTTGCGCAACGACGATGGTGTGAGGCTGCGCGGTGGGGATGTTGAATCCGGCCCCGTTCAACGCGTTCAAATGGACTTGCACGCCGGGCTTGATGGGCCACTTACTCAATGGCTGGATCTGGCTGGATATCCCGCTGTTCCCGTCCGGGCTGCAGTCATCCATTCATTCCTCTCGTTTATTGTCTTTCATTACATCGGATGCAGCGATTTCAATATAGCATGCACTTGAAGAAATCGCTGGTTGGTCACTCAAAAGGTTTTAATCGTGCAACTTGCTTGAGACTTGATGGCTAGCATAAATGATGCTCTGGATGCCATTTAAGTCAGTGGCAGGAGCGCTGGATGGCCTATACAGTACAATTACAGCTAGCAGCTCTAAGCCCACTTGCTGAAATTAAACTCTGTATGTTTTGGAGGATTAAACATACACGGGAGAACATCCCCAGAACAGAACATCAACGAAAGGCGAACGAATCCTATCTGTTAAATAATGAAAAAAGAAAGCATTCCAAGGAAGCTTTAAAGGCCCGGAAGGCTTTCATCATCCGTTGGGACAGGATGAAGTTTATTCGGATGAAAATAAGATAACTGAATTTTTAGTTGAAATCCACAGAAATCGCGTGAAATCTTTCGAGAAAAATTGCGATCCCGACAATGAGCACGACTCCAAAATCAAAATTTTATTGAATGCATCCTTAGGGTGGTTAAATAAAAACCGGACAGAAATATGTATAATACTCTATTTTTACCTTCAACGACACGGCGATCGAGATCGAAGATGAGGATGCTGAATCCGGACCCGTTCAACTTATAATAATACAAATAAAAAAGAAGTTTCAGTAAATATATGTTCGTGCGCTGGACGTTGACCTCGGTGCATTTTTCTAGGCAATCCTGGACACGCAATAATGCTTTTTTTTTCCAGCCCAGTTTCTATACGGCCACCCTGCATCTTCGTGCAGACATCAGCCCAAGGCTCGATTCTTCCACTTTCTTTTAGGTAAAGGCGTCGATAGGTCTAAGGGGACTTATAAGGCAGTCGAATGGGTCAGCTAATGGCATAAAGTGGCCTTTGAGTGTAAAATCCTCTTAAAGAATCACGTTATCCTAAAAGAGGCAATTAAGAGTTCCTAGGCAGCTGAAAGGGAGAATCACCAACAAAAAAAAAGTTCGCGACCGTACAATGAAAAAAGCTTGCGGCCTTCCTCTTAGACTCTTAGAGAGATCAACACTTGCATACCATGTAATTTTCTACCATGGGCTAAATCAGAGCAAGTCCTCCACGACGTCGTATTGCCAAACAAGCTCGAACCTATCGTTCATGTGAGCCTCTCTCAAAGCTGAGAGGTGACTGAGTGTTCCAAATTTTGGTTTCAGCAAGTGGATTCAAAGCTATCAGCAGAAACAATGCTGCATATCAGGCCACCCAGTTATGCATGTTAACGGACGGTTTTAGGACTCGTTATCATTCTGCTTAGGAGAAATGTAAGAAAAACTTGTCCGATTGAGATTCAGATTGGTGATCAATGTTGTTTTCACTTTTTTTTTAATGCATCGCTTCATCCATTACAGAAGAGCCCAGTAGATAGAACTCGATTCTGCCAATCAAGAGATGAAAAATGAAAGATCGAGGAACCCGGAAGTTTACCTGAGCGGGAGTCCCCTAACGAGCAACTCATGCAAGTTGAAATCGTGCTCGGAAAGTGCAGGAGGAAATCGAGAGCGAAAAAAAGAGGCTAAGAGAGGAGGAAAATGCAGAAAGCGATTGGGACGAACCGACCTGGGACCCATGTCACGTCGGGGGAAAAGACCGGCAGCGGAGATGGGAAAAGCGTGAAAAAGGGGCTGAAAAACGGAAGGATGATCTTTGATCTTTGTTGACCTGAATGGCAGACGGGGTTTCGTTTCTTTTTTTTTCGTTCTGTTCCAATCCTCGTCTCATTCCGCTCCAACGACCTGATTGCACCGGCTTCTCTCGTCCTTGTGACTCGAATCTTTCCTTTCTATCTCATAGCTGACTTTTTTTCACTGGGGTCTTTTCCTTTCCGTCTCTTCCAATGACCCAACGAACCGAAAAGTTCGGGGCTGGTCTAGGTTCATTTCTAATCGCAAAAAGGATCTGGGATGACCGTCGGCCCTTAAGACTTCAGGCATGAGGCGAATATAAACTATATATAATTTTATTATACCCTCTCCTACCTATAAATGCCGATCCAGTTTCTACTTTCGCTAGAAATAGTTTTGATATTCCCCAGAGAACTTTTTTCACGGCGACTTCTCTTTGGCCTCCCACATCCACGGCACACCCGCATATCCAATTCTCTCCCCGTGATGCAGAGACCACTGGCCAATGGGAGTGCAGAGAGGCAGAGTCGTCAATAGCAACGGGGGTTAATCTCATCTCATCAAAGCATTGAAGATATCCTCGACAGTTCTAAGCCAATAAAAGTCGCTGATTGATGGATACGCGAAAAGGGTATTTGACAGCTGAGTGAATTATGGTTGGCACTGAGGAATTCCTATGAGACAAGGAGGCCCAGGTGTGCCTTCAAATCGCTTCAATCCTCATCCCTTTGAGGGGCATCCAAATGTCCCCATTGCGATTCCAGAGAGCCTACCCCTCCGTAAAGCTGCATCGTTCGACTTCTCCGTGTTCGCGAGAAATTTTCGCCATTCATCCAGGGCAAAGAGGTTATCAGAAGAGTAGAGAGGGAAAGAGAAAGATACCTTGAGAAAGGCGTTGAAGTTCGTGAAAGCTAGGAGTGCTTTGTCCCTGAGAATGCGATCGGGACAATCCAGGGAGAGATCGCTCTGTCCCTATCCCTGACGGCATGCAAGTGGAAACGAGTCACGCATCAGTCTCGGTCCCCCATCCCATGAATCGACGGAAGGAAAGAGATACCTTTCAAGGTGAGACTGGGGCGAGAAGGCAAAGGCAAGGGGTTAGTAGACGAAGGGTTATGGAGAACGTCTTGGTGTAGACGCTGATTTCGTCTGAAGAGCCTGAACATCCCGCAGGCACAAAAAAAGCAAGACAAGAAACCGGTCATGATACTGGTCAAGAAACAATACATGACCCAGGCAGAAACGAGGAAGAAGACATGACAGGACGCCGTGGACTTCTCTTCCTTGTCCCATTTTATCATCCGACTTGATCATCTATATTTTATCATCCTGCTACGTTTTCAAGGACTTACGCTGTCAAGTGAGCTGAATTTGTTATTTTCCAACGGTCACATTTCATTCCCCTCCACTACTTTCCCCCTTTCCCTTTCATTCTCGGTTAGTGCTGAAGAGAAGTCCAATTAGGAGCCCTGGTCAGAGGATGAACTTAAGAAGTTCGGAAGACCAGAAGATATCCGAATCCCCGTAGCGAAGAGGGAGAGGAAAAAAAAGGAATGACGTAAAGATTCCGATCGGACTTACTTTTCTCGTTCCTCCAGCTCCAAAGGAGCGGCAGCTAAACATGTGAAACAGGATCACAGGGCGTTAGATGGACAAACTGCTAAGGATCATACTAATTACTAATCTAAAAGGGGTGAGAACTGCCACTTCAGCCCTTACGGGGCCGGTGCCTAATTCCTACATCGGCAGAAGGTAAACCTTAAAAAGCATCGTCTTACATTTCTCAGGCGTCCGTTTCTTCCGGCAGCAGATGATGACAATAATGAGGATGATGAGGAGAATGAGAACGGCGGCGGCTGCGAGAGCTCCGATCATGATCATGTTATCCTCGTCCAGCTCCATCCATCCTCCCAACTCTTTTTGAACGGGAACAAGCAAGGACAGACACCATCAAGCTTCCGAGCGCAGCCGGTCACGAAAAGAAACATCCGGTGCCCCTCAAGAACGAGTGTAATCGTTCTCGTCCACGGAAAGAAACTGTCTTGTCCGGGGGAAAATGACTTGTCCGAGGGGAAACTGTCTCGTCCGTGACAGGATAGTTTGAGGGAAACGGTCTTGTTACGAGGGAAATAAAGAAGGGCATTTCACGGGGATGTCCCGCGAGACGGGATAAACATTTTTCAGAATGTGCTGGATGGGGAAAAATCGATCGGCTCCCGGAGTTCGGCGGGTGGGATAGACGGCTCCTAGACATATAAGTTATGAGCGAACAAAATGACACCGTCGAAACAGGAGGCACCTCCGCACTTCTAGGGAAAGGTTGCTCTTGCCTGTCGCAACTGCAACGAAGTCATGTCTCACATGTAAATGGCATTGTTTTTGTGTTTTTATTTATATTTTTCGCGATTGCAGCAAAGGGATGGAACGGGGCATTCGATAGAATTAAAGGAAGATTCGATAGAAAAAAAGACCCTTGGAGCGGAACGCGAGCGGGACGGGATGAGGAGGGAGTAGGACAAGGAAACTCGGGATGGGACAGGAATTTACTTCCCTTGTCACTCACTAGAGCGATATGTCTTGTCATAATGGAAACTGTCTAGTCAAGAAACTGACAGAACCTGTATCGTCAATGACAATACAGTTTCCTCCGGGCTCGGGCCGCGCAAGAGAGATGGTTTCCCTTCCTCATATTATAAGCATACACCAAGAACAAGGCCCATGAGAGAGAAGCCTGTCATGGAGCAATCGGGAGGGAATGGTCTCTAAATGGCCTTCCCCTCGTTCTGGCCATCATCTACATACAATAAATGGAGTCGGCACGAACCTATGGAAGACCTACACCCTGGCAAGAGGCCAAAGGAAATCGATGACTCTGCTCTCCCTCGACAGAAAATCGCATATTCCGCCAGTATTGAGGGCAACCGAAGGGGACACTCCCACGGTGCCGCGTGCCAGATGCACGGGTGGGAAAAAAAAGGGAAGAAAGTTTGTCACCCGGGAAGGAGACGAATGCCCCGCCGGTCCTTAATCACTATACGAGGGAAGAAGGCTCCGAACAAAGAAAAAGGTAATATATAGCAGTGGATCGCGTGCCCTCGTCCATATTCCATGGACTCCAATCATGATGAATTGATCAGAACGAAAGAGACAGCTCATTTATAACCGTCCAAGGTCTTGGGACTTGGGGTCTGTCTCGACTTCACCGATTCAACCGAGCCCTCTTTTTTTTTCCATGAGACGGGCCGAAATTGGGGAACTTCATCAACTCCTCCCCGGGGACCTTTCTAGGTTCACTTCTTCAAAGAACCATCTCGTTCCTAAAATCCCTACCCACGCAAAAAAATTCCTAACCTAAGTAGTTGTGTTTCGTCGTATGTGGTGGGTTATCACCTCGAGGAGACAGAAATGCTCTATTTCGCTTTGCGTCATCATGTAATGCGGATTCCGGTGTTTTCCAAGTACTTTCATCAGAGTACTCAATGCAATTTCAACCGCCAGCCGCGAAAAATGCTACAATTATTTACTTAAGCACTTTTCCAATTACTTCCTGGAAAAGTAATGAATTATTTTTCAGCTAATTTTCTGATTACTTCGCGTTTCAACCAATAAGTCCTCCAAAGAAGATGAGCGAAAGCTGGGTGAAACAGAAAAAAAAAAACATTTTCTCCCTAAGCATAAACAACTCATTTCGTCAGTTCAGCCGCTGAGGCACAAGTGTGAAACTCCTGGCGCCATGGCATCTTCAGCCGAGCCTCATTTAAAAAGGGTGCAATCGATGGGAAAGTAATCACAAAAATAATTTTTGCTTCAATTACCCAACTCGCTCAAAAGTAATTAATTACTCCTTAATTACTGGTTTGGGAAGTAATTCAATTACTTTCTTTAATTACTTTTTCTACAATCGATGTCTTCATGTCATTGATATTCTGCGCACTTGTTCCATCTACTTTCACTTCGCTCGTGGAATATCATCACCGCTGATTGAAGGTCTCACACGAGAATGAAAGATAGTTCCTGTACCACCTATGCGATCGAAATTTTAGCAAGGCTCATTTTGTTCAGGATCAGGGGAGAGATAATAGTCACCAACTGCTTAGGAATGTCTAGTTCTGCCCCAAAGGCCTTTGTTCCAAGGAAGGTCCTTAAAGGTCCTAAAGGAAGGTCAAACCTTTTCCATTTCAAGAAATCCCCTAGATCGATAGACTCCCCCTATTCGACCGCGGGAAAGACGAGTTCGAAAGAGGGAATACTCACCTGTGAGCTCCATCTCACACGGAGACTCCGCCGGCCCCAGGGAGTTGTTGACGAGGCACACGTAATTCCCCTGCCCCGCCGCTGCCGCCGCCGCCTGTTGGACGACGTAGGAACTCCTCAGCCCCTTCGTCCGGATCCCACGGCTCAGCGTCTCGTTCCCGAAGAGCCACGTGAACGTGACTTCCTTCGGGTTCGCCTGGACTTCGCACGTCAACCGGATCTCGCCGGATACCTCTTCGCGCTTCATCACACACTCTGGCTTGTCTGTTTCGTTCACAGGATAAATGAGACAAGGATCGAAGTTGGGGTCATATGGTTCAAAATGGATTTCATATCTTAGAAAATAAATTAGTAAATAACTATAGTTTCGTGTTTTAATCCATCGGGATCTGTTGTATTATTTTTTTCTCAGGACTTTTCTGTCATTATGTATTAGTTCAGTTTACGATGAAGACATTACGATTTTCAAAAGGAAATAACTTCGTTTTTTGCTGAAAAGGATAGGAGAACTCGTACAGAGGACGTTGATGTAGGTCTTGGCCGTGATCTTGCCGTGCCGGTTCTCCGCCACACAGTCGTACTCCCCGGCCATGGACTTCTTTATCTCGTAGTCGAGGAGGAGGGTGGGCCCGGACGACACGACTTGGGCGCCGAATCTCCACGTGTACGTGGGTTCGGGGTAGGCGTGGGCCGTGCAGGTCACCCCGCCCGCTCGGTCTCCCTCTCGCACGTCCACGTAGGGCGAGGACACCGAGATGTTCTCCGGGGGATCTGCAATGATATCGTTGGTGAGAAAATGGAGAGAATAGGAAGAATAAACCGACACTTGCATGATGGAGGGTTGAAAGATCTCATACACATTTTTGCAGCCATGGAAAATGTCCAGCTTCGTATGAAATATGAGAGGAGAAAAATTCGTTCTGAATAAATAACTCATTGTTGCTTTTTACACTCAGTTCGCGTATAAAGCGTTACAAATTTGGGGTTTTCCCCTCAGATGATTGAATGCGCGAGGATGTTGCATGCAACACCCTCAGCTGATCTAACTTGAGCTGAGTAGCTCAAGTTAGACCGACAGGGAAAATACCGAGAGTCGGTATGAAAACATGCCAGGAAGGTGGTAAATACACCACATCTCTTCAGAACGAAAATGCAACAGAATTACCCAAATGCATCGACAAAAAGTAGTGATCTTGTCTGGAGCTTACGGTCTAATTCAACTTTAAGATAGTCAATTAAACACTGAGAGGGCGAAATTCCTGTCAAGTGTGTTCACCAGTTGACCGAATTTATATCGCATTCAAAAAAATGTTACGGGGGGGGGAGAGGTTAAAATATATTTTCTAGGCTTTACTGACGGATGGAGTGTTGTAAAATAATAATTTCCCCCTAATGATTCGGGAATGTCTCCCCAACCACCATCGACATGCAATGAGGAAATGAGCCACGACGGGAAGCCACATGATACCCTATGAGCATCAAGATCTGCTCTGCTCTGGGCGGGGTGGATATGCCAGACATAAAGAGATGACAGAAGACGTAATGGACTGTGACGGGAACCGGGGTGAAAAAAAAAGAGGCTCATCCTGCTCAAATCCATGCACGAGGGTTCTCCCAAGTGAAATGGACGCGGCGGAGCAAAGTCCGACTGCGAATTTCCTCTCCTTTCAACGCATGCTAATGAACATGGAGATATTCGGAGTGAAAGGGAAATGGGAGCTCCGACGCCTCTGCTTCTCTACGATTTTTAGGTTCAGTTCTGAAGAAGATACCGGTACTTCTTTGAAAGCTTTCCTAGAATTGAGAGACCATCTTTTTGCCATATTTCGCAAAATCGTTGAGGAAATTATTTTGGGCCAATTTCGGTCCCAGTTGTACAAATTGTACGAAAATAGACAGATGTACCTTGGCTCTTGTTATAATAAATGTCTTAAGATAAGGCTGCCTCGACAAATTGGGGTGAAAAGTACGTTCCATGTAATCCGAATTGGGAAAGAATCTCATGTTTGTCTCAAATTTAACCCTTTGAACCCATAAGGCCGGTTTTCCGACCCGGCAGTTGCTATGACGCGTTGCCAGGAAACAGCTTGACCATCGGAGATAAGGTAGGAAGACATTCCTACTATTGTTTTGGTCAGAAAACCACAATAAATCTGTTTATATCGTATTACTGCGAACGAAACAATTTTTCAAATAATCGTCCAGGAACCTAGGATAGGGGAATGGAAGCTAGGGTTCGAAGGGTTATGACACCTCCATGAATATTGATCCTGAGCAGGAATAGAATAGAGAGGCTCTGATTAAGGAAGCCAGGTGAAACTCTGGGGTTCTGGGCTGAGAAGGAAAAACTCTGACTGGATATAACCATTCAACATCTGAGGTGATTCGAAATGCAATTGCTGTCGATTGTTGAGGAGGGGAAAAGGAGAGGAGAGGAAGGAAATCTTTATATTCAGGGGAAACCCCCCCCCCCCCCCTTACTCCCCATCCCCCAGACAAGCAGATACATCTATATAGTTATTGCTGATAAAGTTAGAACTGACATTCTACGTGGAAGTAGGTGGTGCTGGTGACGCCAGGTCCGATCCCATTCCCCGTGCTCCTGCACGTGTAGTTAGCCTCCTGATCCCGGGATCCTACAATGTCCACGTTCATGTTCCAGGACAGGGTGGAGAGGACGCTCTCGAAGTCGTTCGTGGCCGGGTCCGGTGGGAGGACGTTCGTCTTGATGGAGTACCCTCCTTCCCCGTCCTTGACCAGCACCTCGTTCTTCAACCACATGACCGTGCAGAGGGGAGAGCATTCCACTCGGCACGAGATCCTCGTCTCGAGCCCGGACAGAAGCGCCCCGTGGTAAGGTGGCAGGCGGTCGATGAACGTCGGAGGGGCTAGCACAGCAGGAGGAAAATACCGTCATTCATCCTCGTTCTGTGGTACTGACTAAAGGTGATGGGTCAGAAGGGATACGAAAATAATTGCACACAAGGAACATGGAACTGATTATGTACGGCAACTTGTTCAGGGTATGCCCTTTGCTTCCTTAGCTGAGAGAAATCCTTTTTTTTTTTTGCTTCCCGAACGTTACTCGCTAATTGCATGCTCATGACATATCTTTCTCAGAGAACTGAATTATTTATTCCAAGTAGTCTTCACATGTAGCTCATCGCATAGGTGGCAGAGCACAAAAGGCCCAAGACCCACATCAGGCTTCATTCGTCATATGCACTTCAAGTCCAGACATCATGCAAATGAGTTTACACTCCATCCGCTCATCCACAATTTTTTTCCGGTCGATAAATCTACTAGACGCTAGAATGGATATGGGCGAGAGAGTGAGACAGACCGGAGACGCTGACATTGACGGAGGCCGGCTCCCCTTCTCCTTCCTCGTTCACGGGGATGCACGTGAAATTGGATCTCGTCTGGAGGCTCACGGGTTCGATCCTCAACGTCGGGCTCGTGACGTCATTCAAGAGAAGATTCCCGCGGAGCCAGCGGAAGCGCATGGCAGGGGGGTTCCCCGGCTCTTCCGTGAGGCACGTCAGCGTTGCCACGTTCCCCTTCGTCACCACTTCCGGATTCACCATGATCTCCGATTCACCTGGTGGGTCTGCGTGTAATTGTGGGAGAAACGTGAGAAGATCTTCACACACTCCCACATCCGTAATGTCTAGCACTTCAAGAGACATGCAACAGATCGGTTCGACTGAAACTGATATGATTTCGTTACGGCTCATAAAGAACGCCATTATGAAACGAGATCGGTCTAAAGTTAACCGGACCTGGTGCATGTCACTCTCACAAAGCATAATTTAAAAAAATTATTTTCTCTCCTCTTACAGTGAATATTGAGCGGGACGTCTGCGGATCGACGGCTCCAACCCGCTTCATTTCTCCCTTCGCACGAGTAATTGCCTATGAACTTCCGGCCCACGGCTTCCAGCAACATTTTCGTGGGATCGATGTCACACAGGTCATAGTCGTAGTCGTACTCCCACGGTGAAGAGCCATTCCTCACACATTCCGGCAGTTCCTTCAGCAAGTCCCCGTCCATGTACCATCTGACGGCCTGGAGTTCCCGCGGGTTCCCCGAGAGGATCCCGCACGACAGAGTGATATTGGGTCGCTGCAATTCGCTCACGGTTCCACGAGGCTCCATGGACAAGAACACTTCAGGGGGATCTGGAAAGGAAATCCCTACTCAATCCTTGCTTCTCTACAAATTTTGATTGGAAAACGGTAATTGTTCTCTTCTCTTTGTTACCCCCTAAAGAATCATTAGCCACGATTTGCGATGCGCGCCAAGTGGATCAGACAGGGGATGCTTCCAGCCTTACGGTACAATCAAGGAATCTAGATTTCCTCGACTTCTAAGCCTGTTTAGACTCTCAAATCGAAATAAGTATAGTTTACTCTTGCTCTTGGTTGTCACATTTCTCCGTATAGGATCTTTTCGCCTGTGTTTCTAGCTCTTTAAAGACTTTGGAATTTGTCTCCCTAAGAGGTGCTGGAAAGCAAAAAACGCCATCCATCCTTGTCTTGTGGAGAAGGCTCATTTCGTGCGGGAGAGTGGGTCAGTCACTGATTCCTCTGGGAGAAGAGAGTAGGAAAGAGCCTTTCCGGATTAAAAGGACATCAAGAGAGACCTGAAGGCGAGATGGGATGAGACCCGTGTAAAGTTTGATTACATTACACTCCCCTCTAAGCCTAGATGACCCCCACCCCTTCCCCCTTTCCCCCTCCCCTTCTTCCCCTCCCCCCCCCCCCTTACTCCCTCCTCCCTTCATCCTTCTCGACGAGCGAGAGATTTCATTACCGCCGCACGGTGCTTTATATATTCCCAGCCTTCTCCTTCCTTTTGTTACACACTGAAAGAGGCATGTCAACTATGCTCTCTTCTCATTATTGTCATACCATCGGCATGCCTTTCAATTAATTCCTTCCTTGGTATTTCTCATTCTCTCGTCTCCTTTGTCGACTCTTGCTCTTCTCTTCTCCCTCATGACCAAGAAAGGCCAATCAAGAGAAGTGCCTGCTTATCGATACAGGAGCTAGAAAAAAAACTTTTCTCTCGCGATCCTTCACTTCCATATACGAAATCAGCAACTATTCACTTGCTACCTAAAAATTTGCAAAACCTCATGTATACTTAAGATAGGCATTAGGTTTGGTAGAGAATGAAAAAAATACGTGGAAAGACAAGAAAGGGAGAAAGAGAAGTTACCTTCTTTACTTGGAATCGTGTAGTCTACTCCTTGAAAGATATTAAGTATTCATTAGTTCCCCCCTTTCATGACTCATTGATGATCCATCATGAGATTAGGGAGAAACTTACAGTGGACCTGGAGACGAGCGCTGTTGGAGGTATGGCTGATTCCGACGGAGTTCTCCACGTAGCACGCATACTCTCCGGAGTCCTCCCTTGAGGTGTTCCGAATGAGAAGGGACGGGTTCTCCGGTATTCCTCCCCCATACCTCTCCCGGTGCACTCGCAACTCTCGACCGTCCTTATACCTATTCGTGAGAAAAGAGAAGGAAGAAGTGGGACTCGGAGGGGTCATTCGATATGCATCGGAGCACTTCACGCGCTCTCTAACAGAACTTTATAATGACATGATTTGCATGTCGCGATTTTATTGGCGGGGACTGGGGAGCCTGGGAAAGAAAGGAGCCCTCTTGACAAGAGCGCTCGGCGGGTCGGCCCGCCCCCCCAGGCTCCTCGTCTCCGGGATCCTAACTTAGAACAGGAAGAAAGAAAAAAAAAAAAGAAAATAGATATATGAGGGGAGGAGAATAGAAAGTGATCGGAACCAGATCCGGACCAAGGGTAAAGAGAGAGAGGAGGGGAAGAGAAAGAGATTGATGGATGCATGGGTGGAAACGGAAGAGGGGGAAAACATCCCCGGATATGGGGAGGGATGAAGGCTAAAAAGAAAACGAGAACGGAAGAGGAAAAGGAAAGGGTGAAAGTGGAGAGGAAGAGGAAAGGGCAAAAGTGACTCACCAGAGCACGGACGTGAGATTCCGGGGATTGGCATCATACGTGCAAAAAATCCAGACGTCCTCCGTCTCGTTCACCGTCGCATTTAATGGGGACATCCGCACCGTCGGCTCATCTGCAGCGGAAAAATAGGAAAGAAGTCGATTTCCGAATTTGGACTTCATGATAGGAAGAATTCTGCTTTCGAGGCCAAATTCGCCATTTCTCTTCAGACATGCCCGCGTAGATATCTATCTTGATCAAAACTGTACTTGTTGACATCGACGAGCAATGGAGTGGCAATAGAGACGAAAACGGACAGGAAATAATCATTAAGTTCCCTCTTTCATCTTCAACCTAATTCTCCTTTCTGGTGACTACATTGGGCGGGTACGTGAAACTGATGAATTCTTCATGCCATCCAAAAGGCATTTGCTTCGTGCATGCAATACTGAAGTGCGCGGAGAATAAATGAAAAAAAAACCAACGAGGAAAGAGAAAGAAGAAAATGAGACTCGTCACGTCAAGTCCTTGTTCCCCCCCTCCCTCCCTCCCTCCCGTCAGAAGAGCATGCAGAGAAGTTATGAAAGGAATTCCCACAATACAATGTGGCCTGTGAGTGACAGGGAGCAATAAGCCTGGCGAGAATCTCGCTGGACAAAGGGGAGGACACCGTGGAAATCCTATGGAAACTCCGTTCTGTTACACCCTTTGTCACTCCCCTGGCTCCAAGCCAATTATCTACGACTCTTTCATCACTTCCTCCCTTCTTCGATCCCCTCCTCCTTCACTCCCCATCGATGCTTTCCACAAAGAATCGCCATGCTGTCTGGTACGAGCTGGCAGAGACGGATTTTCGAAACACAAAAAACAGAATCAGGGATTACTACAGGAAAGGGATATAAACATTCGGACTGACTTCTTGATCTGAAAAATGAAGATGGAAACAGATGCCGGAGAGGGGGGAAAAGGGAGCATGAATTCCAAGCACGTTCCACCGGGTAGGCCGATGGAAACCCGATATCCCATCCTATACCCTTGGAGAATGCTTCCATTTCCACACCGAGTCGGACACGTTATCCTATCCTATTGTTCAGCGAGAAAATCCCTTTCGGCCCTCTCACCCCCATTTTCAAGAGAAATTTTTTCTCATCATGGAGACATGGGGGGAGCCTGTCACGGTCTGTTGCACATTCTAAAGGAAGCTCCAGACACGTATCGCGGAAATTTCATTCATAAAATAGAATTTCCGGATTGTGATGTCATTCCTCATTGAATCTATTTTCACAGATCATATTTGAACAGTTTACTATGCATCCATTTTTTAAAATATAATATGAAGCTAATTGGCTCCACAACTTGTCAGGTTCACATGATAAACTAGTCAATTTCCTCCATGTGAGCTTCTGTCATTTGAAAATCCCAGCACGGTTACAAGACGAGATTAGAAATGGTTCGCTTCGTCCGAGAACTTCCAGCATGGAAGGGGGGAATAGACAAGAAAATAAAAGAAATGGATTTTTTATCCCCAACCCCATTCTTTTATTACGCAGACCTTCGTGTCCAGAAAATATGCATTAAGCTGGCTGAGCAAAAAGAGCCAAGCTGGTATGCCTTTGCGTGTACCGTCATGGACGATATAGGCAAACTACATTACATTAAAAATGCATGCTGAAGGAAAGGGAGAAGAGCGGCATACAAGCGAATGCCGCTCTTGAAAGGGGATGGCGGTGGTGGAGGCGAAAATAGGACTAAGGGGGGAGATGCGTCTTCATTCTCTCCACCAATGCTCCACTATGACAGATCCATGAATCTGTGCTGGATGAATGATCTCTAAAACATAACAGATGCCAAGTTAGCATGGCATCTTGACAAACCAAACATATGTCAATAGCCACGCATGTTGAAGTTGAGTGACATTTGAAGAAATAATATTCCCACACACGACGCTGACACACGGACAGGTGGCTTTTTTCCCCCCACAAGGGGGATATATTTCTGCAAGTCTGCCCAGTCGCAAGTTTTCGTTCCGAAAGTTTACTAAGAATTCACGCTGCCGCTTTCTCAACGAAATAATTTCTATGAAACGTATTGTCCTGTCATACCAACCGAATCCATGCACGCTCGTGCTTCCACTTCCTTAAGGAACTGTAATCTTATGAGCATAACAGTAATTTTATTCGTTTACTCATAAGCATACTCAACTTTTTAAAAAAAATAAAATTCATGAAATTGAAAATGGGATCACAGTAGCATTCTGCTTAAGAGAGGTCTGGGATCCCGTCAGAGGGGAAGGTTGGGAAGGAATTCATGAGTTGCTGTTGATCGAGGGAGACGGAGGTAATAGGAGGTCGGGGGTACACAAGCCTTGAATAGGGAAGAGGGGAGGCAATTGAGGGGAAGCTCCTTTCAGAGATAAGATGGAAGAGGAAAAAAAAGAAAAAATGTTCATCGAGGGTATGAAGGGTTGGAGTAGGGGGGGGGGGTAGAAAAGCGGAGGGGGAACCCAAGCCGCGAAATTAGATTCTCGCACTCAATTTGGGAGAGTTCGATTGGAATCCGTTCATTGGCCTCCTTTCTATCGTTCTCTTTCTTGTCCTTCCTCTTTTCGGTGAATTTTACATTTTATCGAGAATTCCCAACCCTCCGTCGATGTAAATTCCCTTCCTCAATTCCTGGTGATCAGGCTCGATATAGAAGAGTGGAAAATGGATCGCCAGTGGACGAGTGACACTTATCCAGAAAAATCGAGAAGCGGAATTCATCTCTCTTTCTCCTTTTCTCTCCCTCTTACTGCAAGGGAACGCTCTTCCATGCAATTTCTACGACTTTTGGATCTTTGCCATGCACCCAAAGGAGGAAAGCCCTTCATATTTGTCTGGATGTCAATTTCTGCTTGGAATATTTCTCGTCCACATCCAGGAACGCTTCCTCGAAGATGCTCCGAAGGAAACTCCGCTTCCGATCGATGAATAGGCATACTCTCTTCCTGCAATATCTCTCTTTACAATGGCTCGAACGTGCTTTCGTCTTATAGTTCCAAGAACAAGCGCTCTCAAGAATGGCAAACAGATTGAGGATCGCAATTTCCAGGAAAATTTTCCCGAATCACTTTTTCTCGGCAGAAGTATGTATTCATAATATGGCCATGTAGAGACTGTCAAGATGATAAATTAATGAATATAAAGGCTTCCCAAAAAAAGGCATGCATCGCTTCTGGAAATGAACATAAGCCAATGAAAAGATGAAGGGTATAGGCTCACAGGTGATATCCAGCTGAACAGAAGTCTTCATAGGTTCTTCCCCAAGTTCCTCGAGGACAGAATTCGCCGCCTCACATGTGAATATGGCCCCATGATCCTCTCTCCCAGCCGTAAACGTCAGCCTACTCTGGGTCTCGTAAGTCCCATCCACCTGCACAAACACACGTCCATGTATAGATAAATGAGAACGGAGTAAGTTACAAAAAAATATATTTCAGAAGAAAAAATACACAAAGGAGAGTTTGGATATTCTTCTCAACCCTTGCCCTTCACATAATTATATGATAAATCATCGGTATCATTCATCAATGCTGTTCATTTTCCTCCAGCTATTAATATGAATGTCCGGCCTGAATAGACCTTATCCACGTCAACGGATCGCTCGAGATTAATGAATCCGAGACGCTAATACCATGCGAAGACGGAGGTAATTGCTTGTACATGCGATGCAATGTTTTATGGACAGCTGCACAATGAAGCAACACAGGGCTGGAAAGAGACCGGCAGACGTTTTTTGAGGATTCGAATCAGGGAAGAAAGAGGAGAGGCCTGTCAATGACAGGCAATTCTCAGCACATCTCTGATGCAAAGTGCATCCGAGTTGCCCATTTCCGTCCGATATCCCCTCCTTTTCCTTAAACATTTCTCTCAATCCTGGAAATCCTCCAAGGCCAAGGCGACCCAAACATTCCCCTCGAATACCAAACAACCACTTGCGGGTTACGGAGGACATTAGCGAATTTTCGTAACATTCTTGCCCGGCACATGACCGTCACGCCTAAAGGCCAGTAAAAAGAAATCCTAAAGTTTAAGGAGAAAATACTATAGCTAGAGTCCTGTGTCGGTAAAGATGAAGGAAGTCTAAAGACGTCATAAAGAAGGATGATGAATGAGGAGGAAATCCTAGGGGCATTATGGGGCCCCGACCTTGACAAATGGCACCTATCTTCCCCAACTCCGTCTTATCGTCCATAAATCCTCCGAATGGATCCACAGACTTGTGATAATCGGTAATTACTTCGATCATTGATTACCATTCACTTACTTTCTTCACCGATTGTACACTTGTAGCTCTGCGATGAAATTCATACTCTCCATTCCAAATGTGATCAATTTTATAGCTTGAGTCACTGTTGAACGCTGATTAAAACTAAAAAAAAATGGTCAGCTTTAGGAGAAAACAAATTTATGAACTTATATGAAGGGGAGGAAGGAAGAGAAGATTGAGGGGAAGGAGGAGAATGAAGGAGGTGGAAACAAAGGATTTCTCTCTCTTTCTCTCTCTCCATTCATCAAGACAGGACTCCCTGCCAAATGAGGGCATTACTCGTCCGTATCTGGGATTCCACCGAATTAACTCCGCAGCAGGGCCTTCCACCAAGAATTATTCCAAAGGAAACCCTTCCCCCCTCCCGAACAAGGCTCTTCACTCCGTTCCCATTTGCCATGCAAGCAACGACAAGCATGGAAATGCATACCTGCTGGTGATTATGAACCTTATGAACCTCATTGATGAACCTCTTTCTCTGTTCTGGAAAGCTTCATTGATCCTATGCGAAATCTCTCAACATCGTGCTTCCACCGACTTCATTCCTTCCCTTGTTTTTACATATTTACCAAATGCATAACTGCACAAATGGCGATTCCAATGCGACACATACGGAAGTTTGACCTCCGGAGACGTTTGTTTCGATTGAAGGAAACTGAAAGGAAAACTAGTCAATCTGCGAAAAATCCTTCTTTAAGCTTCAGAAGGAAAGAGTAAAGATTCTTGTGATCGTTCTCTTAAAAGTGAGAAGAAATGATAGCGTAACTAAAATAGACAAGTTTCCACCTTAACAAATCTCACCAACTACTATTTTCAATGAAAGGAAAAGGGGTCTGCGTTCGGGGTGACCAACTGGCTTTGCGATTCGGAGAAGCGTATCTCAGCATCTAGGCGTCGTGTGATTCTGAATCTTGGTAGAGCTGTTCACTGCCTCCTTAGAAGGATTATGGATCCAGCATATCACCTACAGGGGGTGACAAACAGCTGGAAAAGGCGTTAGCGCAATAAATGTTGAAAATGTCCGCCATTTTTCTCAATGACGGTGTTCACTTGTGGGAGCATATGACCGATAATAACTAACAGCAATGTCGGAGGTGTTAGAGCGGTGACCTCGTGGAATATCGAGTCCCTCAGCTCTGTCAGTGTTCCAGAATTGTGCGGTAAACCCTCGAACGACTGGCGAGTTGAGCATTTTTCACATTGTTGGTGCGTTCAAATTTCTGAGCAAGGTGCTTTTGGCCAATAATTGAGCAAAGTCCACGCATAAGATTGTGTTGAAGGCGGTATACATGTAACACCGCAGAATAACGTTTGCCATGTTCTCAGGGGCACCCAAAAGGCGTTATGCGCTGCGAAGAAGAAAGTTCTATTAGTACTATCACAAGTAACTACCTCAAGTGCTCCTGCGGCGCTTTCATAACGGCAACCAACCGATGTGTGATGCCCCCTACAGGTTAGAACCATAATCACTTTCTACATAGTGGAATAAATTGCTCTACCAAGACTCAATGTCTTACGACTCAAAGAAACCAAGAAAAGCCTATCCGAGTAGCTAAACCGATCAATAGGTCACCTCATACATTACACCAAGTTTCAGTTTCAATTAGTTTTTTTTCGGGATGGATCAGTTTTCCTTTCAGCTCTTCAATTGAAAGCCAAGGTGGGGACGATGACGCATTCAACTAGAAATATAAATAAAGCATTGTCTATATGTCAGGGGACGTTTTCTCTTGATAAGCTTCTGTCTTAGGTTTAGTTTATTCGATGGCAAGCAATATTACGCGGATACGGTTCATAAGAACACACTTCCCCTCCTCTATTTTCGACGAAATTTTCCGACTGACTAAGGACGGGCTCTACAGAGATGTGCTATATGTGCCAGGTTTCCCCAATGGGGCCTAAGAACTCATTGGTGGTAACATTAATGCGATAAAAAAGATCGAGAGAAGCAGAAAATACGTTCATAAACACCTGTCTTAACCTATCTGCACTGCAACCGGTAAAAAAAAAAAAGAAAATGATGAGAGAAAAAAATTGCGAATCTCATGATTGCCCAAGTAATGGTCTGAAAATGAGAGGAAGCAGGGTTCATATGGCTCACGTGAGGGGTCAACCCTCTCTTTAATTGACCTCAATTATCTCCAATTACGGAATTGAAGAGAGAGTAACCGGACAACTAGGGCTGAGGAGCAACCAGCAAGGTCGAAATGTCTCGAAGACGTTAAGAACTAAACGCGTTCTCTCGATGAATTCTACGGGAGAAATGGGCCGTGAATCCATCGCGCTAAAACTTCAACAACTGCGAATTTTTTTTAAAGACTTGAAGAATTGCCCACCATAATTGGATCAATTTTGCATTAAAACTGAGGCGGAAGAAGTGATTCCGCTGCAACGTCATACGATGTCCTTTCATAAGTTCATCGATGTTCTCGACGCTATTGACCAGTGGAATCCAAAGGCTTTCGCTGCTACAGAAGCTGCCTGCAATGGGGAAAGAGAAGGACATTCCCCAGGAAGGAAAAGGGTGCGAGGACCTCCAGATCGGTAATGAGGTTGGACATCCACGGAGGTACTGGACGTCTCATGGGAAATTCAAGGCTCAATTAGTGCATCGTCTATCTCCTAATCCGATTCCCACTCTCTCTCTCTCTTTCTCTCTCTAGACATGTCCCTCTCCCTTTTCTCTCTTTCCAAGGGGTTCCTATCGTCCCTGTATCTCTAACACATCCAAGATCCAAGTTGCATGATCAAACCTGATCCATCTGAACCGTGAATCCTTTTTTTCTCGACTTTCAATTTGTTCGGAATCCATTCATTCATTCATTCGTTTAGTTCGATGACTTCCAGTTTTCAAGGAAAGAAAGGAAGGGAGGGAGGAAGAAGACTGAAGATTTCCTGAAAGGGACGAGACTCACCTTTTCGACCGAGTTCACACGAAGCTGCATGCAACGAGAGACGAGGGAGAAAATGGTGAGCCAAAAAAAAGTAGAAAACATGAAAGAGAGAAGGGTAGAGAATGTGCATGGGTTTCATGAATATGAGAGGAAGATGTCCAATGCGTTTCTACTCTCCCCTCTGGAGATACATTTGCAAAACTAACCAGATATCATGTGACCCACCTTCGAGATTCTTTTTGCAACCTTCTTTCATCTTTCTGCTCCTTTCCCCGAATATAAGCGAGTCCGTCATGCATTATTCGCAACCCCACCTCACTCATAGAGTCTCTTTGCTGCCCCTAAGAGGCTGATTATCACGAGTTCACTGAATTCTTCCCTCAGCTCTTTCGTCCTCGTCATTACTGTCTCCCCTCTGACAAGATTCCAAACTTACTCGAAAGCGATTATATTTTATTCATATCCGTATCTCCCTTCTCCAATATCCTACCCTTCGAAAAAAAACGAAAGCAAATGCGAGGCTTTCAAGCTCTACTTTCAGAGGAAAAAGTATTAAGGCAAAGTTAAATTTCTTTTCCCCCAACGTGCATTCCATCCCCAGAAGGCCTCCAGTTTCCGGATATCTCCATTTGCCAAATAGCAGCCAAAAGGAAATCGAAACCTAATGACAAGACCAAAACCAAAAGACAAGACAAAGCTAATAATAGCTTTGTCTTGTCTTTTGATCCTTTCAACTACCGAATGACAGTGCTGAGCCCCATTTAAATAACCATGCCTAGAATTGCTTCAATCGACGCTCGGCTAGGCATGACGAAATGCAATTTCCATCTCATTATGCTTGAATGAACATAACATACGAAATTTTAAAAAAATAAGATGCTCGGAAAGAAGGCGATGACGATGCATCAACTAAGGTTACATGAAACACGAATGAGGGGGGGGGATAATCGTTTACAGACAATTTGAAAATAGGTAGGGGCAAAATACAACGGGTTACATGCATGGACGAAGCTTCTGTTGCAATAGTACATGGCTGCATATGAACATGAAGTTCCATTGGAATCCTATTGCTTCCATTCGCTTTTGATTTTGTTACTGTCAGGAAATGAAAGTAGAATCACCTTTGAACTCCCACCAGCTGATCAGAACTATCTCTTGGTTGTGCACGCTACCTGTAGAAGGCTTTTAACCCTTTCACCGCTGAGTTATATTCGGGACCGCGGCTGAGAGTGATGATGGAAAACGAGTGTATTCGGGAGCCGCGGTGAAAGGGTTTACTATATTCGAAGCATTCCAATCTCATAGCTCACAGCAAGATACAGAGACGGGTCTGCTAGTCTGGGAGGACTTTTTATGCAGGCTCCTTAGAAGCCTGATTTTTCTCCCGTTCCCCCCAATATAACAAATGATCAGATCCTTCCAGATGAACTCTCGCTCTGCAGCGGAATGCCGTATGCACACACGGAGAAATTTAGCCAACCCACTATGCATCTGACGTCAAATGCAAACCATCCATAAAAGGAAAGAGAGGGAAGACCTGGAAAAGTAAGATACCTGAACGGCAACACTGCTGCGGGGTTGAGCATTCAGGGGGAGGGGGTCGCTTCCGTTGAACCAGGTGATGTTGGCAGGGGGTTTGGCTCCTTCCACACGGCAAACGAGTGTCACCACCGCTCCTTCTCGGATCGGACCATCGCCTCCGGTCAACTCGATGTGCAATGGCCGGACTAGGTAAAGGACAAACAAGAAGGTCTCATTCGGCATCTCGTTGGAAAACGTTCACAGTGACAAGTTCACAATTATATCACAGCCCAACAAAGTAGCAATTAAAATTCACTTGGATCTCTGCCCTTTTCGTACATTAATCTGTAAAGCATCTAAATTCCTCTCTCACCAAGACCACCCAGTCCTGCGGTACTGAGGAGAGTCAGAAACATGAGAGTTCACGCACCCAGAATAAGGAAACGAAATTTCGAAGGCGTAATATCCGCTTTGGGTTCAATTCCCCCGAACAATTTCGGACCTCGCCCTGTAGGTCGGTGGACCAAGACTATTGGGGTCAAACACGGCGCGAAAAATCGTCCCTACAAAGCAATTCCAATATATGATTTTAACAAGGACCTTCGTTTCTTCACGGTCTTCGAAAATGGAAAATACTATGTTAAAAATGTGGTAGAAATTAATTGAGAAAGAGATGAAGTAAAGAGGTTCTAAGACCATTTTGGCCTGACGTCATTAAGGTGCTCCGTCCATATGAACGAGGATTACGAGATTTCTGCATTAGACAATTTTTTATTCATGTGGAGGGAGTGTCTGAATGACGTCAGTGCCCAGAAGTGTTTTGGAATGGCTACAAGTAGAGAAACTTGTGGAGCTATAATAAATTATGGAGGTCTGTATGCTGCCAGAAGAAATCTTGAGCCTTATCTCATTGCCTTGTCCAGTCGTACTGCAATTTTAGATCATCATCGCCACTGCGGGACGGGGAATCTTTTCAGCATCCCCCATAGAGGCTGCATAGTGGTACTGATGAGCCACGCCACGTCGATTGCTTCCACATGCTGAGTGGATACATTTGCGGAGATTTCATGCGAGACGGGTCTTACGGCCTGAGTCTCGTTCCATTCATCTTTTTGGCATGAGGAGAGAGTCACACGATTCTTCCGCTCGTTAGGGAAACGAACCTCTCACTTATACGTTTGGTGGTCTTGTTTCGTTATTTTCCTTGCTCATCGTTTGTGATAGTACAGCATTTAGATTTTGTGGCAATTGTAATATTTTTAGTTTAGAGTTTGTAGCACAGCATTTGCCTCTACTTAATACATATAAAGATTACATTTCTGCAATGCGACGAACACTTCGAAAAATATCCTGTCCGTATCAGCTTAATCAGTATAATACCATATATTTAATAAAATGTCAATCCCACGATTCTACGTGCGGGAATCGTGATGCCTATGTCAATTTGAAGAGGAACGAGTCCATGAATCTATGAATCAATATACTAAGTTATTTTGAGGTGCTACAAGTCCTATAATTTCTCTCGCTTTCAAGTAGGAAAATTAGTGATTAATATTCATGACTGCAAATTAGCGAACATACCAATCAAGTCAATAACACGGGTAAGTTGATATCTTCGGGCCATTTTTCGCCAAATCGCAAATTTCACATCCAGTATCTCAGCCCCCCGATTGATGAAAGGACACGATTTTGGATGTACGCTATCCTCAACATATTCAAAATGCGAGCCAAATTGATTGAATTCTGAGATGATCGGACACAGAACATAGATACACTTAAGATGGAATGACCTACCTAATAACTTGTGTAACGGGCAATGTATAGCTCAGGTTAGATACAGACAAAAATCTCATCCTCATTCAGACACTTCGTGGCCTTCCAACATCGACCGCTTAGATTACTCATCGCTGTTGGTCGCATATACGAAGCTATCTTTGTGTCATAGAAAACGGCGGTTTTTTAAATCACTATAGAAACTATCATAGAGAGTCGCAATATAATTCCAAGTCCATTCAATTGCCACCAAAGAGTCTTCCAACTGCCATCTGTCAGAGCTAATCAAATCAGCGAAGATGCCACTCAAACCAATATGATATCACTTCGGATTATCCGTCTGGAGGAGTCGGCGATGCCTCATACTGTCACACTGACGTCATTCCACAACTGAAAATGGATCCATGATCCTCACCAATCCTCAGGAGACACAAGAAGGAGAGCAGGAAGTGACCGACGGGAGGCATTTCGTATTCCACTTCACTTGTAGGCATTCACACCCACTCTAACACATCGGGGATGTCCAGGGACCGGGAGAAGGGAAAGGAATGAGCAGTTAATCCTTGGGAATGGGGGTTCCCATCCTTGGCGGAAGAGAACGGTCGACACTTCATCACTCCCCCCGATAATACATTCCCTTCCCTCTCAGCGTTACAAAAGATCATTGATGAGATCTATTATCTCCTTGGCAAGACTCTTAATCTTCCACGAGAGGCTTCCTAGATCCAGGCAGCTTCATCCCTCACCTTCCTCAAGATCCCAGCTCTTGGATACTCTCGACTCCAGAAGAGTCTAAATGTGTCCAGAGCGGTCTACCGGCAAAAAATATTGATAAAAATGTTCTCTCTCGCTCTCTCAGCCCCAGACACTCGAAACGAACGACCCGCAATACTCGCAGGTTCCTGGGTAGAGGCTTTTAAAGGCTTTCATCCTCACCCTTTCCAGAACGAAGTAAGAAGTCTTATCCCGTCGGCCGAATATTACTTTTATCGCGACAGAAGAGAAAGAGCGTTAGGGCGAATTCGACTGGAGCAATTTATGATGTGTCGGGATCCCCTCTGATAAAAATGATGGCAATCACACCGAACAGAAGGAGGGGGAATGAGAATATGAGAGAGTGAATGGGTCTCTTGGGTGCTATGTCCACGCTTTCCTCCCTCATAAATGTATAATTCACTCGTACTATTTCCTGTAACTTTATAAATCAAAGGACACACTTCAAACCCGATGTCACTAATGTATTGTGACGTCATTCGTAATACTATATCCTCAAAATCAGCTTTAGGTATGTCCAGGAGAAAGGAGTAGTCTCGGGATTCTGCCACTTACGGACAGAGGTATCTAAGTAACAGGTTAAGTTACAGAGTTATTTTCAAAAACGTGAAAATAAAAAGTTACAGATTATTCACTCAAAAAGGTTTAGCTAGAAGTTTCCTGTAAAGAATTAGGTCACATAGCTACTTTTACCCATCACCGCGCTACACAACCATAACAAAGAGAAACTGTCGATAGAGCATCCTCTTCATGTTGGGAACTGGAATAAGGATGGGGACAGAAAAAGAAGCTGGACAAAGAAATGCACATGGTCTACCCCATGAAATCTCGACCGTTTCCTCTCTCTTTTTTTTTATTATAGATATACAGTATATGTCAAGCTGACAGGGAAGAGCCGCGGCAAAGGGAATCAGCCTCTCGTCTGATATGATGTGGAAGAGAGCGCAAACAGCAGCAGAGGGAGACGGTCCATATTCTCCCGCTCTCAAGGGATCCATGAAGTTTGACCTGTCAGTTATCCTATTTGCTGGCGGGGAGGCAAGTTTTCCGCTGCCAACTCGCCTCGCTTGTTTGCCTTGTGTCAACACTCCTCGCGCACTATATGGACCCTGAGTTCTCATTAGACGCCGCCTGACAACCACACTCCCTGCACCTGACAAATGCATTCGACTCAAGTGCTACCGGCAACCAACTCATAAGGAGTGTCAAAAGAAGCGAAAAGCCTGCCAGCCAAGAAGGACTGGAGGCCATCGACAACTCAGACCCTATCCTGGAAAAACGGAAAGGAAACCCCCTTTGCCCCCATAAAGGGAGGGGGAAAACGAGGCGAAGAACAAGGGAGCAGGAAAATGAATTGCGCTGGTAATTGCTCAGACGTCAAGTGGAAGGATGAGAATATTCCTTTGGCGTGCAGAATATGCCCTTATGAATGATGTGATGTGCCTGGAGAGTGTGAAAAGAGCTGCTTCAATGAGCTTCGTGTCTGTACGAATATTATGATGATGTTTCATTCCTTTCCCCCCAAAATCATTCTTCTCCTTTCTATTCTTATTTCCAGTCTCCAGCTGGCAGCCCAATTCTCTCAAGAGAGAAGAGATCCTTTTTCTTCTCACATTTATATCATTTTTTAATGTTAGATTTCATACCTGTAAGAACCAGTGCGAAATGATATCAACAGTTGGATGTGGGAGCGCATCTACATTGAAACTTATCCTGCTTGTGTCTGACTCGCGTTGAAATCCAGGGAATGGAGATCAACGGAATAGACTCGAATATACTTTTTTTTGCACTTCTGGAGTCCTGTATTTTTATTTCTGCTTTGTAGAGTCTGAGGGCTTTTTCCTTTTCCTTTTGAGGTGTACTGCTTCTCCTGAAGAGCCTTCTCCAGATGCTGCACTAGCCTCAATGTGTGTCCCAACGACTAGCTACAAAACTACTTAACAAGGATCACATGAGTTACACGCCACTATTTCTTTGCGAATACCTATGGAAAACTGCATTTTACTGCCCCCCATCTCATATCAATTGCTCATGACGCTAACTACTCTCCTCGGGAATCTGAATGAAGGCCTTTTATTCTGAAAATAAATACCATATTTTTGCCGTTACAATTAATGATTTTCAGCGAAAGGCGGAATGCAATAATTGATTAAGCAATGGAGCTCCTGGCATTCAGGTTCTAGCAAGGGGCAACGATAGTCTCCCTTTATGCTTTCTCCAGATAGCTAACAAGAGCTAAGAAGCATCCTGAAAGTATGCATCCTTCAACATTGTTTTATCTAGTTAGGAGATGTCTGAAGAAAACCTCGTCCAGTCGGGTTATGGTTTCTAACGGACCACACGAAAGAAGAAAGTCAGGAAGCGGAGCATCTGTTTTATAGAGTGCATGATAGAAGTAGTCGAATCACGATTTGCATGAGATGTTCAACAAACACTTTGATATCACCTATAAACTAAACTGCCTTTCATGTTCCAAAGCCCAGGAATTTTGGATTGAAAATGTTTAAATACGGAGAAGCAGTTCAGAATGTGCACGCAGGACGGTAGTTCAGTTCGCCTGACATGTGATGGAGCACATTATTTCCTGTGCTCGTTTAAGTCTAATTCTCACTTAATTGAACTGCCCCAATTCCCCTACCAGGTGAAGGTGAAGACTGGCGGGCAGTCCATGGCTCTCCCCTCCTCCAATTTTTGTCAGAGACCATATTCATGCGATTTGAGCACAAGTATAGCCTAACAACTGTTGATAACGATGGAATCCACTCATTTCGCCTTGAGAAATAATGCTACTTCTGAGGGAAATTATATATAATTCTGGTTAAATTTTGGGAGGCTTAATCCCCCGAAACCATCCAAACTCCGCCTATGGTCGGCTCCCGGCTCCTTTCATTGTGCTCTGTGATATGACCAATGGGCTTGATCGCGATCTATATCTGCCTCCGCACGAATTATAGCCAATATATAAGATACTGATTCTGTTCTGAAAAGAAATCCTGAAGAATTCCGTTTCAGAACATGGCACGAAGCACGCATCAGGTCGTTACAGTGTCCATAAATTCTGCTCGATGCACATATATGTCGTCTCTTCCGCTTCCCAATTGACATTACAGACCTTGCAGCAGTTTCCCACTGCACAACGGACAGTGGTGGGATATTAAGCATTTTCCCAATTCCCTGTTCAGTTTTTAGAGGGTATATAGGGGGAGAGGATTATTGGGGTGAGGGGAAGAGTGGACTGCCATATGCCAAGCATTGTATTTCCGAAGAGCAGCAGGAAAAACCATTAAATTTCGCCTACATACCAATCTCTATTGAAAAAACCCCCCACAGAGTCCAAGTTACATAAAGTGTTTCAGACAGTAGATAGTATTCAAGGTAAAATTGCATGCTTTCCGGCATGAAGCTCACGCTCAATTGAATTTCGGAGGCTTTGTTCACGCCTCTTTTTCACTGCCTCCGATATTCTCGCTTGTCTTCTCTCCAAAGGAGCCCGTCCACTGAATTATCCCAATTAGTTGAGCAACACTGCACACATGCAAAGCCATCCGCAGCGGCTTGACCGTACGACATATTTCATTCTCACACAGAATCGCTTCCCTCTTTTTCTTTCCCTCATCATCTCGTCGCGATACAACAGAATGGCATTCTTGACATTCTGGGCGTAATCGTGACCTTCCCGATAGACCTCAACTGCCAAGGCCATGACGAAATCGACTGGATCCGGTTTCGATTTCGCTCGCACGTCTATCATGTCTTCTATTTGCATGGAAAACTCTTCATTTCAACGGCACTGAGACGCATAAAGCGGTTTTTTTTACCCTCTCGCGAGTTCAAAGGCAGTTCCGCAAGGTAAATGGTACCTTTTGCGAATCCTGCAATTTTCAACTCTCTAATTCTTCCGAATCCCGCCGGAAGAATGACTTCATGGAAGCCCATATGGCATTACCCCTTCGGCTACTTCATAGGCTGAGCGCACGATGACTCCAGCCCAACCCATCCCAGCCCCAGAATCTTCTACCCTCGACCGTCCCAGCCCAGCCCGTCCCTGCCCAGAATTTTCCACCTTAACTCGGCATGGTGTGAATGCTCTCGCACGTGCCTGGCATTAGACTCGCAATGAACCCATTCAAGGAGAGTCATGTTGCCGTAATGCTTGAGAAGTAGGAAAAGCAGGAAGGGGAGTGAAAGTACGAAGGTCGCAGGTTCCAGGGTTTGATCCATATAATGAACCCCGATGGGAATTTGAGCAACGCAACGTAACGTAGAAGGGGGGAAAGGTATATTCTCCACACTCTAGCCATTAAAATGCAGCACACCGCTTTCAGATAGCTGTATTTAATGCAGTGTTATGAAATTTTGAAGCTGGAGAAAATGAAGAAAGTAAAAGGGAGGAGATAGAAACTGACTTTCAAAAACTTGGAAAAGCCATATTTTCACCTAAGGCTACTATTTTCAATTTTTTTTTAAATATTAGCTGCAGGCTTTCGTCTCTTTTCCTACACAGAGGGATAATGAAAAAATCCTCACTTTCTCCTGCCTCGGCCATGATCTCAATAGCATATTGATACACGAAGAGTGTTGCATGATTTACAAGTTGTGAAGCATGCCAAGGATACACATAGTATTCATGTCTTCATTCAGAATTCGATGCCAACTTGGAATCAAAGATCGCATTCTTCCATCTAGCAAAAACGAAGCAGGCTCCATTCAAACTGGAACCGACAGATGCGTACTGCATCCTGTGAGCAGGGGAAGCGTAGCAAACATGCGCTGGAAAAAAGGCTGCAAAAAAGCCGGGTTGGAACGGGCTGAGCGAGCTGGATTTGGAGTGTGCTTAGCCGTTGTCTTCCGTGACAAATGAGGCAATTCCAGGACGAAGAAATTATTTAAACCTCGGCGAGGGAATCCTCTTGAGAATCAATGCTCGTTTGAGTAACGATGTCCTGTGTGCAAGGGATTCATTATACATCTACCTCTCTCTGGTTCAATTATCAGCTTGGATTGAGATTGATGCTGTAGACCACGTGAACGATTTTCAGAGATTGGGACAGGATCGATTGCATGATAGCTCAGTACTCCCGATTTGCTATTCCCTAACTCTGGGTCTGACCATGTAACATATCCGTACCTTTACTTACAGAGTTCTTTGTTTGGGGAAGTGATCTAATCGTCTCGAGCATGCGATGCTCATCGCTGAAGAATGGAAAACAAAGGTCTCCCCTTCCGGTGGAACCGGTTCGTCGGAAGACGCGAGCAAGACTAGATGATCATTATTAATCAGGGTTCCTGTGACAGCCTAGAAATGTGACAAGGGAAGCTACTGACCTTGCACGTGTAGCTCGACCCAAGCCCTGAGGGGGTGATTCAATGCCAGGTTTTGCGCTCGACATTCTAATCGAGCAGCCAAGTCTCCTCGATTGACGGTAAAGCGGAGTTCCGACATCCCTGCACCCGTCCCGTCCTTTTCGCTTCTTCCTCGGTATATACCTGTAGAAGATAGACATGGTTATATTGCGATGGCATTATAATTGAATTAAATTATGATTAAACTCCACAGATGAATTTCCATTCTGATTGTAATCGATGATCAGAGCCCAAGCAAACTTTCGAATAAAATTAGGATAAATGCGTGAGAAACTGAATTAAATTACAACTCGATTACACAATCGGATTGTAATCGACTTATCCCTGGTAGAAGAGGATTTATTTCAGTCCGAAATCCCACTCCCCCACTCCTCACTGCTTTTATTCAGCTTAGAAAAAAAGAGTGGCACTTTGAGAGAAGAAATATTATATATCGCACGGGAGATGGAACGTTGGCGAGTTCGCACTTGATTACATTCTCATTTCGCCATCCGAGCTGTGACAAGAGCCCTTGCCCACTGCAACGGAGAAGCCAACTCAGGGAGATCTGACTTTGATTGGGAAGAAGTGTCCTGCGATAGACAGGAGATACTTCTGCCGGAATGCGAAAGAAGTGACAGGAAACACGATTACTTCCGCCTCCTCGATCGGATTCGAAGGGGTTACGTCGAACTTCATCTCACTTTAGCCCCAAGGTATTATGGTTACTTTAACACACTCAATGGAGAGTGCAGTGGGAAAACGTGAAACTCTACAAGCGCTAAATCGCACGACAGATAATTCGCTTTTTCCCACGAGAAACCCGTGCTTTCGACTCTAGAAAAATGATAAATATTCGCACTAGCAAAAAGTACAATCATTTTTTAGATGCATAAAACGCTTATGAATAAAAATTTGCATATGAAAGAGACAAGGGAACAAAACGTATGGGCCGAAATTGGCCTTCGTGGTCTGGATACTCAGAGATAAAGATACGAATCGCAAGAGAAAAGCATGAAAGCGGGATGCTGGTTGGTTGGAGCAAAGATATGATAAGTTGGAGGGCATGAAAGACAAGCATGAAGCTTGAGAGACAATCTATGTGACACCATCTAGAATGTTGTGACAGGCTATGCCGTTGACATATTGCGAAATTTTCATGATACATTAAGAAAAGAAAGTAGTGGTTGAAAATAATATTTTAAGCAAGAATAGTTTAATAACTCAAAAACACCAAAAAGTTATTAAGCTATTATTATTGTGCAACTGCCTTCAAAGTGGATGAGGAAAAAAAAAAAAAAAAAAAACAGACTTCAGGATGCAAAACAACAGGACCAAAAGATATGAAAATATGTGATTAATGAATCATTATTGTATGAAAATGCAAAATTATTGAATTTCCATGGAATACCCTGATGTTTCCCGCCTATGATAGGCAAGGCCGGAAGGCTGCATTGCTCAATCGGCCGGTTGAAAAGATCTCTGCCCTTCAACAAGCCCCTTCCAGAGTCTGACATTGACTTCACGGTCTTGCCATGTTTATGAGAAGCCAGAGAGAATTGCGTTGCCGCCCTCTCCAAAACACGTGGTAAAAGGTGAGGAAATCAGAGGTGAAGTGCGAAGTGGGTAAGTGCGAACGTGGGGCAGTAGTAATAATTCCAAAGCTATTTTTTTAAACGAAAACCATAAAGATCTATCCTTAATGTTTTCCATAACCACTCGTCGACAGCGCTAGGGAGACGATGCAGAAGGGCAGTCTCGGCTTTTCGTGTGGAAATTCACAAATCTCATTTGGAGATATGAAATGATCTTGGATCAAAGTTGAACTTATGATGCAAGAGAAGGATATGAGACGGAATTGCGTCACAAGCCATTGCAGTCGTGGCATTGACTGAAAATCGGAGCCTATTCCGTCAATAGCCCCAGTGAGTCGGCAGGAAACGTATAGTTTTCATGCTTTCATCGAGAAAGAAACTTGTCATTCCAGTGACTGAGTCCATGCTTCAATACGGCTTCGTGGCGTCTATGGTCTGAAATCACTTCTCGGCCCCCTTTCCACGTTCCTTTTGAGGTATGACCATCGCCACAGCATTTAGAAATTGCACAGTCTTCGTTCCTGCCTGCTGAAAATTAAGAGAAAGCAGCATGGAGAATCCTAAGAGCCAAATGAGGACGGTGACTCTGCTGTTTCAGTATGCACCGTCGACAAAAGTGTGAAGATGTGACTCATCAACTGGGACCACATGTTCCGCACAGATCCTCTCAAAGTCTCATTATGTTTCATATTCTCATGTCACGGCCACGTTCACCGTTCGGCTTCCCATTTCAGCGCGGCCACAAGTAGGAATAAAGGGAGCCAGGAGGGGAAAAACTTGCAGGGAAAACTAGACTGGACTTACCGGGGACAGACTGAGTGCCATTCCACCAGGTGATTCTCGGGATGGGCTTCCCTCCTCCCGATTCGCAAAGAAGCGTCAATTCTGAGCCTTCGTTGTAAGGTCCGATCATGGAAGAGTTCTCCACTTCCGTTCCATTTTCCATCGTGATTTTCACGTAGTCTGGCTTGGCTATAACGTTATTGAAAAGAGAAAGAACGGCTTCATTGAAGGAAGATGACAAAGCTCCGACTCCCTACCATTCTATACAAAGCGAGATGATATTATATTCCAGTCGAGTTAGAAAAACAAGAAGAGGAAGAGAATGCCTCAGCCGGTAATTGCTCTAGCCACTCTTCGTTTTCTTTCTCAGGTCTTCAGGTTATTTTTTTTTGTTCCCTTCTCTCGTTCGCCTTCTGACTTCACTGTCGACCTCTGCGGCTTCGCGCGATTTTTTGTCTCCGCCCTGTGTGGTCTCGTTGATCGGTTTCTTCCTCCATCATGCACTCGCATTACACGAACCCTTTCCGAATGAGACTTGCCTTGTGGACAGCGAAATAGTGGAGGGCAGGCAGACGGGCGCAGCCCTCGATCAGGAAATGCCCTGGGCGAACTCAACTCTGCGCCCCATTTGGGCACAGCTCAGCTGGAAGCCGACCCTTTTTTTTTTTTCTTTTATTAAAAAAAAAAACTTTTCTCCTAACTTTTCTTTACTACGTTTTTGATATCTAATTTCTGATTACTATCTTATTATAGCATTCCAAGATAAGAGACTCAACTCTCCCCGCGGCTGAATGGCCATAGCTCTTTCTATTTCCTTTCGTTGTTCGGAATGCCGTCGCGTGATCACGGCGAATTTAATATCGTTGGAAAGCTCTCTTCGTCTTCTTTGATTCACTATAAAGTATATGACGATTCTTGTAGGAGTCTCGAGAGGACAATGAATGAGTACCCCCACCAGCTACTTTTTGATCGCTCCTTTACAAAATTGTATATTTGCTGGAATCTGGAAACTCATTTCTTAAATACTCCTAGATTGGCCATATATATGAAGAGGGGTCAAATATTGGAGCGATTGGGTCCCACCCACAAACCGGTTATGAGAGAAAGACAAAGGACATACCGAGTGTGGTAAGGTTGACAAACTGGACAACGGCACATTGGTCATCCACCTCCAAATATGTGATATCACATTTATAAAGACCCTGGTCCTCAGGCCGAACGGGGCTGATGACCAATTCGAACACTCCCCCATCCGGAGACGGAAATAGCTGAGACCTGCAAAATATTTATTTAAAAAAAAAAACGATTACCAGTAGGAAATCGAAGGAGGTCGGTGTGGGCATCTCACACCAACTCCAACGGATAACACTTCCACGAATATCCATCATTCATTTGGCATCACCTGCATGCGGTCAGGCATAACAACTCTTTCAGAGAGGGCAATTCCCTGCCTCGAGATGAAGATGCATCCTACATCGTAGTGTGGACTAAGAGGATCGTGAGAGGAGAGAGGAAGGATTGCGTGCAGCGGTTCCATTTCTCAATCCCAAGCGAAGATGTTTTGGCTCTCGCGTGTCTTCCGACTCTCTCATTCACTCCTATGGGAGCCTTTCTTCGGCGATTTTATATCATGAGATACACCCGGCAACGGATCTGACTGCAATCACTGCAGGTGCGTGTGCAATTTTCTCGCGCGAACCTCTTCGCCTCCTTCATCGAGTAAACGTACGGCTGGAAAATTGCGCCGATTTCGAGCCTGAAAGCTTGTTTTTACGTGTGAAGAAATTGGCGGCATATAGAGAGAAAGGGTAAGTTTCCACGTTCGCTGCATGTGAATTCCTCGTTGAGGTGAAAAGTTCAGGAAGGAAGGGTAACTTGGCCCCGACGGCCACAGATGCAGCTTGCATTCCATATCTATTTTCCCTTCCCACCTTCGAAAGTAGGGGGCAAGCCGGCGTGAGGCAAGTGCTCCCCTTCCACGCACGAAACGCGAAAGAGAAAGAGGAACCAGACTATTATAGAGCTTGTGTACACTGGAAACCTAAAACTCTGCCTCAGCCTAATGCGTCCTGCCTTCCTTCCTTCCGCTGACACTCGGAAAGAGAAAGTAAAGGGGATGTCGAGGTTCATCAACCGTAACCAATCTTAAGAGAGACAATGACTTCAATTTCGCATCCCTGCCCAAGGGCCCGTTCCCCGTCTCAGCCGAATCTTAGTCTAAATTTGAATATAATCTGGAAACAGTCTACAAAGGGAGAGGTGAGCAACTCCGTACAATTACGAATTAGATTCAGATTTAGGCTTCGTTTTAGATTTACATTCAGATCAAGACGAGAGCATCAGCAAATGGGATTATTAGACCCCAGCAACTCATATATCTAGCATATATCAACTAAAGGGAAGGCTAATAACTGTCTGGATAGCTGCAGCACATGAGTCAGTCGGCTCTTTGCAGGGTTCATTTAAGGACAGGAGAGCAGGATAGCAAGTCATACACGTGGAAGACCATCCCCTTGCCTTGATTGAAAACTTTTCCTCGTCTATCCTTTCTTCCCTCAGGGCGCAGAAAATATGTCTAGGAGACCCTAACGATTCTGAGGATGATATGAGAGATGGATATCTTTCATCTTTCATAAGGTACTTAAGGAGGATGAAGAAAAAGAATCGAGATAATAATAATAAAAAAGGCGCACAGGCCCAAGACACTCACCGGCCGACGAGATCACCTTCTGCCCTCTGAATCTGGATATCAGCCAACTCGGAATAGACGAAAACCCGTTCTCCATTTTTATACCATTTGATGTTATGGACGGCTCCACATTTGCCGCTGGAAACCCGGCACCCAAGGGTGACTCCGTCTCCGGCTAATGCAAATACGTCCACTGTCCACACTTTCTCCCCATCTGTAGGAAGAAAAGAGGGAAAGAACACAAATGCAGCTCGTTCATCTTCTGCTGTCCCTTCTGATTTGTTTTTCTTTTTCCCATCTAAATATTGGCTGAACAGTGTCAGAGAAATCCCTTCATCCCGAAAGAGGGAAAATCTTCTGGAAGAGAAAGTGAAATATTGCAATTGATTCTCAGGATGGAATTGCATATACCCATAACAGAGCCTGCTTTTTTTGGCGAATGTCTTTGGCATTCCTAAGATAGTCTGTAAATTTGTACATCTGCCAATCTGCCAATCTCTGTTGCTCACAGAGATGAAGGGAAAGGATAATATGCTTCAGATCCCGATTCGAAGGTCACTCGAAAACCGATCATATTACAGACCCTGCAGGCATCATCGGTCATTCGATGACCATTTCATCCTTGGCAAAGGATTCTTTCTCGAATATCTTGGTCAGGGATTTTCTTTCATATGACTGCTTACTCCCTAGAGCATTACGCTTATCCCAAGTTTGTCTTGAAGAGGGAAGTTTTGGCGCCTCTGGGATCGAGACTATATTGAGAGGAAGGCAAATAATTGAATCTTTGCAGGGCCTCAAGGTATTGTATGGACGAGAGAGAGGCTCTATGGTCAAGGGGGATCTCAAGGGAATGACCATGTCGACCTCGGCCTTATCATGTCATGCCAGATATCCCGACTACACAAGGTCAAAGGGAAGGACTCTTTTGATGAACGGCTCCTGCCTTTGACCCTCCCTTCGTATATCGAGTGGGCAAAATTCATCAAAGCGACATCAAAGATGCATGAGATTCCTGGCTTGCATTCACGTCCCCGTGATTTTCCGTCCGGCATCGCCAGACGTTCTTACAAATGGGGACTGCAAATCAAGACCATCTCCGCGGAAAAGACCATCGACTTCCGATACCCATTTGCTTTCCATGGAAAGGATCGGGAAAATCCGACGGCCGCTTGGAAGATTCCACGGCGGCGAGGACAATTGGCCATGATTGAAAGAGGGAGGGAGCTCCTTTCTTCTTCTTCTTCCAGTCTCCCTCCCGTTTGGCAAGAGAATGTGCGAAGTCATTCACACTGGTGCTTCGAGTCCTCATGGCAAGAAAATAGATAATGACCGCGTGGGGAGATTAGATCTCTCTCTCTCTTCTCCCTCGGCCTCCACGGATCCTGTATTGAGTCTTTCACCCATTGACGGAGAAGGACGGTGCCAAGCTAATGATAGGAAAGCCCAGATTGGTCTGTCTTGATTAAAACCCTTTTGGAGCTCTTCCTCCCTCACTTCCTTCCCCCCCTTCCGCCCATCCTTCCTCGCTCCATCTCCTTCAACCCGAATGTCGGGATTGGCTCACATGTCCCTCGGTTGAAAGGAACCGGAGAGGGGGCGCAGGATTTGTATGCTAGTGTTGAAGCATAATTCTTCACGCATTCTGCCCATTTTGTACTGTAAATTTCGCTAACAGAGAAAGCCTTTGGAGGCAGCGAATTGCAAATTTAAATGTGGCCTTGGGTCGATAATGCATATCCCAACGATCAGACTGAGTGTGGTACGGTCACCCTGGCAAGCACTGCCGCAAATTGCCAGCCGCAGAGGATCGGGAAGATCCAGGACTGCATAATTAAGGCATCTACCAAAATCCATGTTGGAAAGTTGAAATAGGTTCTTTACAGAGGTGCCTCTAGTAAAATTTAATTGCAGGTGGCAGACGAAATGGAAACTATACTTAATGCAGCCTTGACTCCACGAAATCCCACCCCACAGGCAGAGCCATCTGAAGGCAATGCGGGAGAGTTCCAAGTTCTCAGTTCGTGTATACTCGCTAAGCGGGGGCTACACTGTTCCGCGTGTGCCAGCATGGGGCGGAAGGAAGTAGATCAATAGAATAGCACTCAGAGCTTGAAAAGGAAAAATCTCTTCCCATAAATCCCATCACCAGAGAGGATTTTATTTCCTGTCACTCTTCGTCCTCCAGTCATTCATCCAGTCATTCCGAGCCATGTAGGAGCATACAGAGGAACCACCGATTGAACCACCGATTACAAGAAACAGCGCTACTGACGGACATATGGGGGAGATTCTGCCTGATAATAAGGTTTGCTGATGCTAGGGGAACATAGCTCTTGAGATAAATATTCGGAGATTTGAACTATGAAACATCGCTTTTGTCTACCAAGGGGACTGAAGAGCAGAAGCTAATTGATGTGAGATGGAAAAGTGGAATTGAAGAATGTCACTCAAATGCGATGTCTCGCCTTTCCTCTTGCGAAAGGACAAGGAAATGGACGAGATAATGAGAACAGAAAAGCACTTCCCCATCTCATCTTTTCCTAATTCTTTGGGCATGAAATTAGCAGAAATGATTGGAGGGAAATTACATTTAAAGTAAGGAATTGACAGTTTGGGAATTCGCGCCAGGATTCCCCAACCAATTGCCTCCTCATTTCCTTATGGAGGGATCCCATCGATCGTCCCTTCCTTACCATAGGCCTTTAATTTCTAAGTTCAGATCCCTCTCAATTAATGCCGCGAGCGATTGGGTTCTCTCGCATAGACTTCAATGGCTTGAATGAAAGGGAGGAAACAAGCCTATTCCCGGATGTGATTTATCAATCGCAGCCGAGAAGCCGTCAAGTACCTCTCTCATTGGAGAAACCTTTGAACTCAGCATTTTCCTAAGAAAGTGCCTTTTTTCTTCTCTCTCGAAATGCCCTGCTCTTCTATAATAGCAATCCAAAAAAAAAATGCAGAGCACCAGCCGAAGGTAGCCCTAAGGGAATGGATTCAAGTTGACGATCTACGTGATTGTCATTATCCACAAAGAATCACAAAAAAATTCTTCAATGAGAGTTTTGCCGGAACAAAAGGCTCTAAAAGCCAATTCATCTCAGCACGGTCTCCTTTGTCTTATTGGTTTTCTCCAATAAAGAAGGTATTGACTGGGGTAGATCCCTATGAAGAGTCATAATTAAAAAAAATCCAAGTAAGGAAAAAAAGACCTTGAAGCATAACTAGTGCACGAAACTGATACCGAAGAGTTTCTTTTTGTTTTTCAGTCAGGTTTCACTCTCTTGTATTTCAAATAAAAGCAGATTAAAAGTAAATTCCAATTTCTTTCACGGTTTTCACAAAAGGTCACACATTATAGATACCTCAATGTCATGTGGTGTCAAGAAAGGAGCTGGCCGTGGAACATGCTACAGAAGCTGGCTAATAGAATGTAGCTGGAGAATCTCATGATAATCTCAGTTACCAATGCCCGTGATCCGCAAATCCCTGTGTGTCTCTGAGTGGATAAACAGAGGCTTTCTCGAGGAGGGGCGAGGAATAAAAGAATACAGCTATGGTAGTGAGGAATGAGCAGGAAAAAGGAGGGGAAGGGACGTTGTTCGCGTGATGAATTTCAATGAGAGACAAAGAAGACGGCTATGGGTTCTGGAAATTCCTGGCAGGTCCACAAGAGAGAGAAAGAGACCCTCAATTAGTTAGACCCCTGTTGAAGGGAAGAAACTTATTCCGAATTTCCTGTTCCCGTGAGGCACGTGCTTCAGCTGGTGGTCAGCGAAGCAGAGCAGACCCTGCTCAAGGCCATCCCCTCCGGCCCTCCAATCCAGCCCTTCCCCTAAATCTCTACCCTAGCGCAAAATCACTTCCACCTTCAACCTCCAACGAAACGGAACCAGGTGTTCGGACCTCTCAGAATCGGCGAATGGACCTACTAATTTTCGAATTCTTAAGACTGCGGCTTCCTCGGCGCACGCGCCAACGCCATGAGGCTTCGATTCCCACTTAGTCACCATTCATGTAAACGCACGTCCTCTTCCTCTTCCAAAGTTTGGTTTCATCGATCTCAGAAAAACTCCATCGGTGTGTTCAGTACCTGGTTGATTGGAGTTGGAGGGCAAGTGGAAACCTAGGATACGTATACATTTATAATGGATACCTGGAATCGAGAACTTCCTTACGCGTGAAAGTATAGCCTTGTTCATTAAAAAGTTACTGGTCGGTGGAATGTATTATGAAGTTGCGTTACATGAAAATAAGCACCTATTTTCGTAGTGCTAAAAGAAACGCGCACCATTGCCTGCAAACCCAACCCGTCATGCACAAACGACTTTTTCGCTCTTGTAAGTCGCCTCAAAAGTCTGCACAAAGAGACTGTCAGAAACTTTTGAAGCTCAGTGTGGAGCTTCTCGAGATGATCCAGGAAGTAAGGTAAGTCAAACCACGCTAGTTATGAAACCGATTTCTTGGTTCCAAGAAAACTAGTTTCAAGCCTTCATTACTATCTCTCTCGACATCGATTCTGGGAAGTCATCTACTGGCAATTCTTGCGACCAGTTCTCTCCATTGATGGGAAAAATATGGGTATAGCAGCATAATAAATATAACCAGCGGAATAACTTCGCTAAGTCTGATCTAGTGCCGTTGAGTGAGTGTGCCTCGGAGAGAATTCCGAATATGAGACTGAAATTCTGTATATATGAGGCTATGGATGAGGGTAGTAAGATCATTTTATCTTGCTCCTTCACGCGACCACTCCTTGCAAAAATCAGTCTTCTTTTGCAGTGACATAATAATAGGCGTCTGCTTTTTTTCAAGGCAGAATCCCACACGGAAACACCACGTTGAAGGTTATGATTTTCATTTTCCGGCTGTCCACTCGGCAGCAGTCGGACCTCGCAGCATGGCACGCGGGTTTCTTGATAAATGGCTCAGAGTTCGCGAGAAAAGAAACTCATACCTGCTTTCTGTCATGAATATAATAACTGGCATAAAGGGCCTATCGAATAGTAACTGGATTTCATACGAATGAAATTAAAGGTATCTCCAACCTAGATAAGCACATCGTATTCAGATTAATGATGAAATTAGCCGCAGCATTCATTACCTTTGCTGTAAAAACAAAATCAGATTCACAGTCTGAAGGAAAACATTTTTTTTTTTATAAATAAGAATATATTATTGAGACTCAACTCCTGGGCGACGACACCACAACCTGGTGCGAACTACGTGCTGATATACGAAAAAATGGCATGGAAATGTTCTCACGAGAATCCGGCTACGTCTCCATGGCAAGAATCCGAGTCCGAGAATCGCAATTGCACAAATCTCATTTCAGCCCTTGATGCAGATCGAAGAAGGTATCGCCTGCACCTTAATGTTACATTGATGTCATTAGTCTGTTTTTCGAGAAATTTAGCC